ACATCTAAAGAAATCACCAGCAGGGTAAAAAGAAAACCCACAAACTTGGGAAGAATTTTAGCTGACTGTCCCTCAGACAAAGGGCTTTTATCTAGAACATATAAAGATTAAAAAATATCAGTGCCCCCCCAAATTCAAAGACCCAATCCAAAAATGGGCAGCTGAGATGAATACACACTTCTCAGATAAGGAAATACAAATGGCAAAATACATGAGAAAATGTTCAACATCATTAGTCATTCGAGAAATGCAAATTAAAACAACACTGAGAGTCCACCTTACCCCAGTAAGAATGGCTAGCATTAAGAAATCAACCAATAACAAATGCTGGCGAGGCTGTGGAGAAATAGGAACCCTTCTCCACTGCTGGTGGGAATGCAGACTGGTGAAACCACTGTGGAAATCAGTTTGCAGATTCCTCAGCAAACTAGGACTAGAGGATCCATTCAACCCAGCTATTCTCCTTCTGGGTATTTTCCCAGAAGATCTAAAAACATCATATCACAGCAATATATGTGCACCTATGTTCTTACAGCACAATTTGTAATTGCTAAATTGTAGAAGCAACCCAAATGTCCACCCACCGAGGATTGGATAAGAAAATTGTGGTACTTTTATGTAATGGAATATTATTCAGCTATAAAGAAAGAGAAACTCGAGGATTTTATAGGTAAATGGTCACAACTACAGACCATACTCATAAGTGAAGTAAATCAAACCTGCATGTGCAAGCACTGCATTGGCTCACGGGTGTAAAACCTGAAAGAGTTAACTTAAACTCAGAGGTATGATAAACATTGTGAAATGATAGGAAAACGCTCAAGGGGAAAGGGCAACTGGGATGTGGGAAAAGAGAAGGGAAAGAAGAAGAAATTTTGTATGTATGTATATACAGGATAGTTAACATAGTTGATCTACTGTCTTCTATTTCTTTGGTGAAAGAAACAGTTAATGAGTCCTTGATTGATCAATATTGCATGGCTCTATCTGTTTTCATGATAAACTACTTTGAAGATATCAATATGTAATACAATAAGCATTGTTAATCTCCTATCACTTTGTTTGTAACTCTGTAATGTCTGTACTGTTCTTTTGCTATTTTGTAAAAGGTTGTCTGTTAATGTTTTCCTCCTTTTGTTTTTAAAATAAAAAAAAAATTTATTCACTGACCAATTTAATGAGTCCCTAGCTTATGCCAGACATTGTTCCGTATGTTAAGGATACAGCAGTAAGTTAGAAAAGAATCGTGACTTCACAAAGCTTACATTTCCATGTGAACAGATAATAAATAATGTACACAATATTACGAGGTAATAAGTGTTTTGGAGAAGAAGAAAGCAAAGATGGCAACACGGGAAAGCTGAGTAGGATGAGAGAGCAATCTGGGGGCCAATCAGAGAGCAGTATCCAGTATCAGAAAGAGTTGGTCCCACTGCAATAAGCAAGCAAGAGCTGAAGCAAGAGTGCAGTGCAGTAACAGGAGATTGTTCTATGACTATGCTTACACTTGGTAAGAGGGAGAACTTCTGAACAGATTTAAACACAATAATATAATCTGATTTGCATCATTCTGCTTGAAATAATTAAAAAGATGGAAGAAGGGTGAGGACAAAAGCAGGGAGATCAGTTAGTAGGCTTTCGCAGTTATCCAGATAAGAGATGTTGGCACTGGGACCAGGAAGGTAGTGCTGGAATGATAAGCATGGTTCTAGATAGGTTCAGAAGATAGTCACTCGGATTTTCTGAAGAAAATGAGAGGAAAGACATACAGAAAGGGGAATGATCAGATGCTGTTCACTCCCTGGCACATGGCAGTGAAGAACTCTACAAGGCCACTAGGTAAACAGGACAAAATGATCAAGTGAACAGCATGGGAAGAAAAAGAGAAGTCAAGGACCAAGATCTGAGGCCCTCCAATGCTAAACGCAAAGAAGGGATAAAAAGCAATGAACAAAGGAGAGGAGCAGGACTGCCAGGGAGCCAGGAGGACCCTGCAGCGTGATGCCTGAAGCCAGGCTAATTAAGAGATAAGTGCGAACCAGCTGCAGAGCTGAGGGAGTGATGGTGACTTACCGGCACCAGTTCTGGAAGAGTGGGAGGAGAAATCTGACCAAGATGTATTTGAGAGTAGAGAATCATGTCTAGACAACTTTGATTTTTAAAATAAAGGAATGTAAAAGCTAAAACTATGCTTTGTGATTAACTATTAGTTTAGAACCAGATTCAATATCAATGCAAAGAAGCATGGCACCAAAAGTTAAGAGTCTAAGCGGAAATTCCTGCTTATTATTAGACTATGAATACTAGCACATTCTTAAAAGGCCGTCATTGTTTTTGCCTCCTGGATATAACACTACTGATTCAAGTTATTCTGCTTGGTGTTACAGGGACCAGTTATCCTAAGCAAGTACTAAAATGTATAGCTTTTCACACTTGATTTTGAAAGAGGTGGGAGGGTGGGCAAAGTTGTAGGTGTCATTATTAAGACATTATTCAGTATCTTCTAGAGAGTTTTTAGCTGTGTAATTGGGAAAAATAGGGGTGAAAAAAAAGTTTTGAAGGACAAATGGTAATTCAAGGTTTGGGCCCCAGCTGTAATTTCTAATCAAACTTAATTAACCCAAAATAAAATGCTGATCTCTAGAAACGGAGCACATCACATGAATATCAAAGTGTACCATCAGACAACTTAAGTTTTACAGTGTAAAACAGATGCTTAAAAATAAAGAACTGATAAATCATAGTATCAGAAGTAGTGGCTGTATGGAAGATGCAGGAGATGAGTAGCAACAGAACCCATTCCCCAAACTGTATCAGGTATTCGATGCTGTTCAGCTTGGTTAGGCATGTTAGAAAATAATTCAAACAATCCTACGCATTATTTTAAAGACAGACTTATAAATATTACAAACTTTATAAATAAATATTAACTTCTCCATGATGGAAAGGCGCAAGGGAAAATGTGCAAGAAACACCAGACTGTGGCACATTGGAAGTGTCTGTGCACAAATATCCAAAATAATCTACAGATTCAGAGGCACGGTATAGTTAAGAAATCCCTGTTGGCTCATTATCACCTCTAATGTTAAGTCAGTGGGTAATTCAAGAAAGAATTTCTTTTCAATTTATCTCAAAGTAACATTCAGGTCATAAAAAATGGATTGAAATGATGAACAAGTCACTTGTTGATGCTGAAGTAAGAGAATGAGAGGTATCATAGCAATAAAAGAACAGTAAGCCTTCATTAAGAAACAAGCAACAAGGAACAAATTTAAATGCTACACTATCAGAGAGCCAGCCATATCAATGGTCTGCTCCTTCCTATGTCTACAAAACTCAAGCAAGTAAGTTTCTTTGGGCTTCAGTTTCTAAACTTATAAAAAGGGAGCTAAAGTAATTTCAAATGTCTGACTATAATGTATGTTAAAAACTTTAAGAAGTACCAATTTTTAAGTATTTACATATGAAGTAAGGCAAATATAAATGTGGATTTCTCTTCTGGTGCTAGGGATCAAACCCAGGGCCTCAGGCACACCAGGCAACTATCTACCACTGAGCCACACCCAAACCCCCAGGATTCTTTGGTCTTTCCTGTTTCTTTTCAATGAATTCTAAATCTTAAAAAAAAATTTATTTTATTGTACCCTGTCCAAGTTTAGTGAATGAGGCTTCTAAACTGAAATGCAGGTCAGTCCAGGATATACGTGCAGCTTACCCAGATTGGGAGGCTTGATGGAGTGTCTAACACTGTAGGGGCAGGATGGTGACCACACACTCCTACACTCCAAAGCCACCAAGGTTCCCTGAGAAACTGATCAGACTGGGATTTTTCTCTACAAAAGGTTCTTACAGCACAAATATGATGATCTCATAAACTATTATGGTTTGCCATCTAGCAAGGTTCAAGACACATGTATACACCCAAAGTCACAGGTACTTGTAAAAAATCCTGTGATTTTTTGATTGGCCTACTTCTGATTATGAGACTGGAACTGAGTTTCAAGAAAAGCATGTTTCCACTCATATATTATATGCTTCCATGCTTCCACTCATATATTATATCCTACTACTCCTATATTAAACTCTTCATATTTTAATATTTAAAGATATCAAACATAGGATTAAAAAGGAAGCATGCTATATAAGCATATCAGCCTTACTAGCTCATTGAATCTCCCGCGTCTATAAATGTCTTCAAATTAATTCCGTCTTTTGAACCTAATTCTACTTGTCATCATAAATTATTTTGGCTGGGGCTGGGGATTTAGCTCAGTGGCAAAGCGCCTGCCTGGCAAGCGCAACGTCGTGAGTTCGGTTCCCGGTACCGGAGAAAAACCAAAAGAAAAAAAAAAAATTATTTTTGCTTTCACTAGCTGACAGAATGACTTTTAGATACATGTAGTCTTTTAATTTTTCACTGTTTTTCCTTTTATAAGGTGCCCCCATTTTATGAGGTACACATTTATTTTACATCTGCCAAGCATTCTTTCTCTTCTGCTTTAAAGACCTATTTTAAGAAGCTTTTTCACACACTGATGTTTCCTCTGTCTCAGGAGGTTTTCTAACAGAGAAAAAAACAATGTATAAAGTGAAACTTTCTTCTAGATTATTAAGTAACTAGATTTAACACAGAATTTCTCTGTATTTTCAGAATCAGAAAACTTTCCCCCATCTCTATTTTGTGCTGCAATTGTAGACAATTCTACAACTTAAGTAATTTTTCAGGACAATGATTTGTTCTGCATTCAGGTCCTACTCTCCTGCTAAGCAGGTATGAATACTAGTATTTACCCAGGGTGAAATCTGTCTAATGTTACAGTGTGTGTTCATGGAGGAGGAGGGTTACATGCTATGCTTAATGTGCTATCTGGTAATGTTTACTAATGGTCATTTAATGTAAAGCCATGTGCTCTGCATAGGGCTGATTTTAACAGCTAAGCATTAAAATCATCACTTTGAAAACTGACTCCTGAACTATGAAATAACTACTAAATACTTACCAGGGTAAGCATCAAAAGTGACTCTGTCTCCAGGAACAGACCCGTCCGGAGGAGCCAGGATTTCGACCTTCTCCGGGGAACTAGCACACATCACCATTGCCTGAGACAGGATCCCCCTCATCTTTGCAGGCTTCAGGTTGCAAAGTAAAATCACCATCCGATTTTGCATCTGTGGGAAACACAAAATTAGCGGCTAAAGCTGCACAGATGATTAGAATAATCACCTGGAGAATATATTAAGAGACACATGTTATACTAAACAGCAAATGTTACATTTATGTGGATGCATCTTTTGTTTCTGTGGGTCCAAACTCATCTCTTGTTAGGAAACTGCACACACGAAAGGAAAATCCTCCGAACAACTCATTTTAGCTACAGAGCAGAGGCCATTTGGCTAAATACTTACTGAAGGATTAATAAGTGAATGAAACAGACTTGGTTTTAAATTTTGGCTATCATTGTCTAGCAATGGGAATGTATAAAGTTGATTTTCCCATTTCTTTAAAAAAAGAGTAGCCTTAAAATTGTCTACACTCTATCTGGATGGTTAACAGGAAGATGATGGCCACAGGGTACTCAGCCTTATTGTCAGATCAGTACAAACCATGTGAACAAGGTGCTTTACTTTCCTGAACAGGAAGACTGCTCACACTGAATTACACGTGACAGTAAACAGGAGAGCATGTGTAAATCACATGCACTAAATACATCATGAACAACAGCTCGCATCATCATTTTTATCACTGTTCCATCATGGAGTTTAATTCCTTGATTAAAAAGAAAATCACTGTTACATAAACTCAGGAACTACCAGTCTGAAACTAGGAGAATAAAGGTTTTATTATCTTTAAAACCCAGAAAAAATTTTGATAGTTGAGGAACAAATAGGTGAAGGCATCATGGAGATTAATTTGACATTTTTGATAGGCTCTTTTATTCATTAAGATAGATGTTTGTATTTTGTTGCTACTTAAAAGTATACATTTTTTTTTCTTATACAAAATTGAAACATTTTAAAAATAATACATTTTTTACTCTTTCTGTCCTCATGAATTCTACCTTACTTTACAGGTCTTTTTCAAGGTTTTACACAGTTTTTTTCCCCTCAGACGGGGTCTCAGTTTGTGGTTTGGACTGGTGTTGAACTCATTATGTAACCTAAGCTGGCCCTGAACTTGAGATTCTCCCACCTCAGCCTTTGTCAGTGTTGCAATTAAAGTTGTGCACCACCATGATTAGTTCTAACTTTTTGTGGAATTCCCTTCAAACTAATCATTTGATAATCAATATTAGCTTACATCATATGGTCATCTTGAGACAAAATTATAAAGGAAAGATACCATGATAGAGAGAAGGAAGGTGACATAGGTAAGCAATAGTAATTTTAGGCACAGACTTTACCTGTTCAAGAGGAATATGATTCACTAGGCCACTGACAACTGTTCTTGGGGCTGTTTCTCCAACATCTATTTCTTCTACATACAAAGTGTCTGCATCAGGGTGCTTTTTGGCATTAATGATGCGGCCAATTCGAAGATCCAGACGAGAAGCATCTATTGGCTTAGAATCAACACTTCCTGCTGTGGATGGCTGCTTTTTCTCCTTCTTTTCTCCTAAAAAGTATTCATCAATGGGTAAACATCAGACTAAAACAAAACTGTATTAAGAGAAACCCATGGTAGCAATACTAATGAGCTTAAAAGAAAAAAAAATCACAAACTTTATCTCCTATCTTCAGTGAATAATAAATGAAAGAATTATTTAAGTCACTAAAGCTCAAACACTATTTTAGCTATTTCCCTGAAAAACCATTTACATTTCTAGTTATAGATATAGAGCTAGGCAGACTGGTTCATGGGCTCAACTTAGCACGCGGCCTATCTGTGTAAGTAAAGCCATACTGGAACACAATCCATGTTCACTCATTTTCATTTTCTGGATACCTGGTATCACAGCACAGCTGAATGGGTGTGATAAAGACATTATGGCTCCACAACCTAACATACCCACTCTATGGCCTTTTATTTTTAAAAGTTTGCTTTTCTCTGGTACAGAGATTTAGAGAAATCCTTTAAAATTTTGTACTGGACTCTGAAAGATGAAAATCCTTTATTTAGAAAACACATCATAGTCGATAGTCAGATATAGACTAAACTATATGACTAACAGTGAAATTTGACTTCACTGATAAAATGTTTCTCTCACCAGTTACATGCAAAGGTATATGGAGGATTTCTCCACTTCTGAGATCTCTCTTTCGACTTGAAGGTTTTTTGGTTTACCTACAGTAAACTGTCCAAGCAGAAGAGATTACTTTATTCTGACTATGCTTTCACAATCTTGCTTTTATTTATAGGCTGGTAATTTCACATATGATCACTTTAACCAGAGTCAAAATGCAAAATGCAAAGAGGATTTATAATTCTTAAGTCTAGTTTTAATTTTTTTGTCAAGAAGAATATGGGTCTGAAGTGCAAATTTATTTCTCTTCCACTCTGTAAGCAGGGACAGTTACTGTAGCTTGGAAATGTTCCTTTTCATCTCTACCTTTGCTTACTCTTTCAGCATTTACTACTGCCTAGGAAATAGTCCTCAGATCTGGAACCAGGTGAGTGGCCTGTGCTGCTTTGGCACTCAAAACCTCTTTTAAGGAGAATAAGGAAGGCATCTATGTCTACAATAGTCCCCTTATCTGCGGTTTCACTTTCTATCTTTTAGCTTGCTGCAGTCAACTGTAATCTGAAAATAAATGGAGAATCCCAGAAATAAAGTTTGTACATTTAAAATGGCCCACTGTTCTGTGTGGCATCCTGAAATCTCCAGCTATCCCACTCTATCCTTCGCAGGAGGCGAATCATCCCTTTACCCAGACTATCCATGGTGTGTATGCTACATGCCTGTTGGTACCTTAGTAGCTGTCTTCCATATCCAACTGACTACTGAGTTATCAGAGAGCTTGTGTCCAAGGAACCCTTATGTTACTTAATAATGGCAATAGTAGTGATGCTGGCAATTTATTACAGTGCATTCTTATAATTGTTCCATTTTACTACTGTTAATCTCTCACTGTCCCTAACCTTTACCATAGGTATATATGTGTAAGAAAAAACAGTATATAGAGGTTTCAGTACCATTTACAGTCTTAGGAGTCCTTTGGAGGCTTTGGAATGTAACCCTATGGATAAGGAGGGACTACTGCCTGAGTATGTAATAAACATTACATAAAGAAATAAAGATGCACAAAGATGAGTGTTGCTAGAGCAAGAAGGCAGGATTCTGCAAAAGAACATTCACAGACTGTACAAAGATAGTTAAAAGGAGAAAGAACTATTTTGAAATACTGACAATTCTTAATCTCACTAGGAAGACTTTAAAAATGTAACATTTTCCATATAACAAATTAGGAATGATTTTTAAAATAGTAAAAAAAAAAAATCAGTTTTTTGGTCATAAGGATGGAACTCAGAGCCTTTGTACCTGGTTGCATTCCCAGGTCTTTTCAGTTTATATTTTGAGACAGAGTCCTACTAAATCTCTAAATTGCCCAGGGTGGGCTTAATCTTGCGATTCTCCTGCCTCAGCCTCCCAGAGTGCTGAGATTACAGGCATGTAGCACCATGCTCAGCTACCAAATCTTAAGTTATCTTTGTGCGATATACTATATATATTAATAATATAATCTATAGCCATACATATACTTTTAAACTTTTACTTCATAAGCATCTGAAATATCACTATTAGGAATCCACATTTCAGAAAATCTACACCACAAGCTTTGTTATGGAAAGAGGTTTTAGAAATATTCCACTGACAATGACAAATGCTCAAAATGTGCATGTGGAACTGTAGAAACACCATGTGGACATTCGTCTGCGCAGGAGCACAACACTGGAACATGGCGGTCCTACACCCAAACACCTACACTACAGTCCTCTGTAACTAGCACTGCCCAATACATTATCTGCCAGCCACATATGGTCATTCACATATAAATTTAAAATTATCAAAACTAAATTATCAATTCAGCTCTTCAGTCACACTAACCACACAGCTCAACAGCAACATGCAGACTTCAGCTCCTGGCTGGGCCAGGCACACGGGATGCATTTCCACCATCTGAGGAAGTTCCCTGGACACAAGCGCTCCAGCCCAAGGCTCAGAGCTCTCTTGTGCTTTTCCTCTTCCTCTAAAGGACACTGTCTTGTCCCATCAGGCTAGAAGGCTGATCAGTCCCACAATCAAAACACTAGGTCTCCTCAGACAGCAGAAGATGGACTTCACACATTTGGTAAGAATGGGCTCTACGACTGTTTTGTGTCCACTTCTTAATAAATTTTATAAAGAATTAGATTTTGCTTTCATTGCAAATCATACCACCTAGTGGTGAAGATATGTAACAGGATGTACAGCATCTACCTACTTCTAACTCACAGAAGCTGCTTATTCATATTTACCTAAAGGAACTGACATGCATCATGCTAAATTGGCTTAGATTAGTTCACAAATCCCTCAGCCATTTCCTATTTTCCAAATAACAAACAAACAACCCCCCATGGCAATTATGAGCATAATGCAAGGTATTAGACAGAATTTAAAAGTACTGTTCTAGATATAGCTGGTAAAAATGAATTCTAGTAAAAAGTGAAGGCATGTAGTTAAAAGGAGAAAGATTTATAATTAGAAAAATAGTTTTAGTAGCAAGGTAATGGGAAAAGTGAGGTTTTAATACAGATTCAGATAAAAGATCAAAAGAACCTGAACTAACAGTAACACCTAATAAAAATTCAGCACTGGATTCTAGTTTTACTTGGTGATAGGAACTGTAAGATCTGTAACTCAGGAATGAAGATTGAGGGACAGGGACAGATTTGGATGACTGCATAATTTCAAATGTTGCTGTCCAAGTAGATAGTGATACTACTTATGATTAAGTTATACGGGTTCCTGAAACTTTAATATCCCATGCCTTAGTTCAGGTAACGCGCTTTGACTGATATCCCTTGTCTATCCTCACAACTGGTTTAAAGCTACCTTCCTATCTGTGACTTCTCTGGAACTATTTCCCCAAATTTAGTCATACCAAAGCATGTATGGGTTTCCATACCACATCTCTGTCTGCTTTTACTATGTTGGTCCTTCACCCAGAAGGCCGGTTTTACCCTGCTGAGCTACTCAACATTCACACACCCTTCAGAAGTACGTTTCCATGTCCCAACAGCATACTGCTGCTAATTTTATTTTAGCTCATAAGTTTTAACTTTTTGTTTGATACCATTAGCATAAGCAGCAAAAATGTTAACATCATCTGATAAACCAGTCCAGAGTCAAATAAGCTTAATGATCAAAATTACCTTTCTTTTCAGTTTTTTCTTTCACCTTTTCTTCTCCTCCCTTTTTTATCTGTTCTTTGGTACCACACAATACAGTTACTAGTGTAGACTGTTCCGCATTTTCGGCAGTCACAGAATTGGCTTGCAGTGGAGTATAAGATGGGCATGGTATTTGCTTCACTGAAATAGATGTTAGTGTGTATTAACCAAACAAAAAGCTTAAAAAACATAAATTGTGAATCATAAATCAAAATTCCCTTTCAAAAGAAAAATTAACTGTGTATTACTGTCAAGTATCTAGTATGTGAGGTGTAGAAAAGCAGCTAAGAAATTAAGCATATTTCAACCATTATTAAAAGTAACAGAAAAAGGCATGATTTCTATTTAATCACTAATTACTCAAGTGAGAAAACTACAGATAACAATAACTGCTGGTATTTATTAGAGATTTATCAAGCTCTTTTCAAAATGCTTCATATGAGCTGACTCATGTAATTCTCAAGCACTGATTGAGTCTTCTCATGTAGTCATTTTACCAAAGATAAATGTGAGCCACGTGGAAGCGAAGACATGGCCCACCCATGTGAGGAGATGAGGAAGCGCACGTGTGCAGGTGGTCTGCTTCCAAAGAGCATTCTCATGGCTGGGGCGCACACTTGCACTAGGTTTTCTTCAACAACCAGGAAGGTGTTTTAATACTAGTCAATTCTGTATTAGTATTGAGGGAGACAGATTTACTTGCACATAATTTTATTGTCAAAAAGCAACTTCTTAAAGAAATAAAGTTCTTCAGCAATGTTTTAAGATGTGAAAAAAAGTTTTACATACCTCCCCTGATGATGGAAAAATATAATCTCAGGAGAGATTTTGATGTAGTTTGGTTTCGGGCCATATTCATACACTACTTCCCTGAGGTATTTTTTAAGTTCCCTAAAGGCAATGCTTTGCTTCAGCACTGTAAACTCCTATTTCAGGTTTCCACCATTAGGTACAATTCACCACTTTAGTTCATAGCACTGATTGGGCTAGCATTTCATTAATAAAATAGTTTAAAGGTTTAATGCTCATGAGACTAACTTTTTTTTTACCCATTGAAAGAAATGAAAAGCAGTTTTACACTGGAATATTTTCACTGTTTACTTAATTCAGTATTTGTAGTCCAGATGTCCTAATCTTAAAAAGCATTTACTAGTCCCAAAATTTCTACGGACAAACAACATTCTCTTTGGCTGACAGCACTAATCATTCATCATTGATTTTGCCCTTACTACTACTTGGCGAACTTATTACTTAGCTAACTAAGGGTAGAATTTAGATGGTGTTAAAAATAATTCACTAATAGAATACTGTTCAAAAGAAAGCCAGCAGTAAGCTTACAATTTACTTGGTCTCAACTTCCCTACAGTAATTTTCTACAAAATCAAATGCTTTCCTGTGCAGTACTTTGAAATTATTAGAACTATCAAAAAAATTTGTTTTATAACAATGTAAATTTACCTAGAAATGCTGAAAGTAATTTAATAAAATTTAACTTACAACAGAGTATTTGAAGTTATAATTATCTGCTGGCTTGAATAACTTAAAAATTACATGGTTTCAGGAAAATAATTTTATTAAGTTTCAGTTTCTGCATAAAGAAAACAACTATATTTGCATAAAATGATTTAAGGATAAAATAAACAATGCATGTAATATACTTGGCACATAGCACTCTGCATAAATTTTAATAAATGTTAATTAAATAGCACTATATTGCTACTTATCAGCAAGTATTCAATAGAGCATGACAATGAAGCTGAGTATAAAACAAAATTAAAAGCTTAGGGTTCCGAACCCCAGCTGTGCTACACTTTTGTGACATTGGCAAGGTCATTTGTCTTTTCCAAATTTCTGTTTTCCCCTCTGTTGAAGGAGAGGAACGCACAGAAGAGACGCTGTAAGAGAACAGCCATTACAATGACATAGTAAATGATACCATTATTAGAAATCAAAAACCTATCATCACTCTAATCAATCACCTCCATTCTGAATTTCGGCCTGAATCAGCTCCTGTTTCAGTTCTTCAATTTCTTTCTTCAGTTTAGCATTTTCAACTCGAAGTTTTTTCTCTTCTCTCAGTGTTGCCTGCAAAACTAGTGTTAGGAAAATACAGTTAAAATATGTAAAGGTTTCTTTTTGAGTACTATTTAGAGAGTGTAATCTGTATATATACGGCTAGGACAACACCAAGAACCAAGTATTTGGTCAGCTCCTTTACACTAGTTTAATGTTCATTAAAACAGTATGACTCGGTAGGCTGAGGTAGGAGGGCTGCAAGTTCAAGGCCAGCCTGGCCAGTTTAGTGAGACCCTGCCTCAAAAGTTTAAAAAACTTAAAAAGAGCCGGAAAAGTAGCTCAGTGGTATAGAACACTAAATTTAATTCCTGGGACTGTAAATTCCACAAAACTACATTCAATCCTAAAGGATGGAAACTGAGGTTAGATTTTTTTTTGTACACATAATTTAGCAATTTTTAAGTAAAATTTAAAGAATGCCTTAGTAGGAGGGATACGTAAGTATGTATCCTCCCCTATATATTATAGGAACTCATACAGGATTTCGTATTTGATCTCACTCAATTTTCTTGTTACCTCTAATGCTATCCCAACTAATTTTAAACAGCATAGTCTTCATCCAGCAGTTGTTTCCCTACATATTATATACTTACTATTATCAATTCTAATTATTGTAAACCTAGTTTATTACTATATTCAAATACTAAACAAATCTAAAAGTTTTCTTCAAGATGACGAAGTAAAAATTTATATCGTAAACATTTTCCCCCTTTGTCAATATATGAATTCAATTTTCTTAAAAAACCTTAAACATTCTTACTTGCTTTTTCCTTTAGAAGAGCAACTTGCTGTTTAAGATATTCAATAATTTGATCTGCCTCTGTCCCTTTCTGCTCCAGTCTCTTCAAAACAGCTTCATTGGTTGTCATTTTTGCCAAGAAACGGCAGAAAATCCTAAATGGGAAAATAAAAGTGATGTGTTACTGTACTAGGAATAAATTTACTCTATAGGACATGTTTTTCAGCCATAACTGATCAGTATGCTAAAAAAACACTTTTTCTACGAAAAGCAACAAACTAAACAACGCAGAAAGGTTAAGTATACCAATCTCCAAATACATTTACAAGAAAAAAAATCTACTTTGTTTCTAAACACAGGGAAAATGCTATTTGATTACATTTAAGGTTCTAAATTTTTAAAAGTATTAAAATATTAAATAGCATTGTAACATAATACTCATACCTTAAAGTGAAAAAAATTATAATAATAAACTTAACAAGTTAGTGACCATCATACATGTGTTCTAAAGTAAACAGTTCTTAGATCCCTTCCTTACCAAGAACCTTTGTATTTTCTGCAGTACTTGGGACTGAACCCATGGCCCAGCGGAAGCTAAACAAGTGCTCTATAATTTAGCTATGTCTCCAGTCTTTACATAACACTTTTATGCACTTGGTATTTCTACTATTTATTGAAATATGTAGTTTCAGGAGGAATGTATGAAGAAGGCATAAATAGTAAAACAAAAAAATCAACAATTAGAAGAACATCGTTCTTAATTATATGCCTATTTAGAGATAGTATCAGTATATATGATATGGCCTTTATTAAAATTTTTAAAATTTTAGTTTTATAATAAATTCAAAATACTTTTAAAAATCCTGTCAAAATATAGAAAAATGCATATAAATATTCTGAGATTAATTCATCATGTTAAAGTTTAAACTGCCACACACTAAGATTAAAAACCACATCCACAAGAGAGGCTTAATCATTAGTAACAATATGAACCGTATGCTTTTATCTGATTTAATACAAGTTTATACTTCAAAGTGTAAAAATGACATAAAGCAATGCTGAAACAAACCTTGTTTTAAGTAAATAAAACTGCTCTGGATAAATCCTAAATTTTTTATTTAAAAAATTGGCCAGTGGACAAATAACACACGGTTGTTTTAAAATTTCAAACTATCGTACTATTTCCTTCATATACAAGTAATACTCTGTAATTTATCCTTTTTTAGAAAAAGAAGCCAACCATGAAAATACTTTACCCTAGAATTGACAATAAGTGACAGACACAATACCAAAGCAAAATAAAACCTTATAAAACCAAAGTTGCTAGTAAATGAAGAAAATGTAAACAGGGAAGTTAGCCTGGTAAAGCCCTGGAGAATGTGTGTGCCCTACATGGACTATTATTTTAACAGCTTTTAAAAATGTAGACAAACATGTGGAATAGAAATATCTCCCTAAAATTCTACCATTTTCGACATGATCAGAATGATCATGTTCCTCAAATTATTGCAAAGTCCCAATTTTAGAGGAAAAATAAAAATGGACTATATGAAGAAAGTTCAAGTAAAAATACTATGCTTTTCTGAATTTTAGTATGCTGAATTACAGCAATCTTTTAGTGTAATGTCTATTTTAATGTAATATAAGCAATGAATGAATGTATTCAATATGTGAAATACACCTAGTACAAACAAGGAGTAATGAATATTTAAGAATGTGAAGGTAGATACACATTATAGAAAAATACAGTTTGCAAAGGTATGGCTTATAAAATGTCATTCAAATTTCAAAATAAACTAGTACTTCAAGTGTTATGAAAGAAATTATTAAAGCATAAAATGCTTTCCTTAAGTGAGCCAACAGCTCTAATAAGTCACCTACAAATATAACCAGCCACATAGCTGAAAAAGCAAAATATGAGACTGATGCTCTGACTCAAAACAGTTTGAAATCTTCCAACACCAAGACTAATTTGTAAAACAGAGATCATAAATCCTAGTCTAAGAGAAAAAACAGGATACACAACTTTATTTCATTAATAAATCAACTATTAGGAAAGCAGTTTGGTTACAAAACTGAGTTAAATATAAGAGTTGGACTCTTTTTTTTTTTTTTTTTTTTTTTTTTTTTGGTTTTTCTCCGGTACCGGGTACCGAACTCACGACCTTGCGCTTGCAAGGCAGGCGCTTTGCCGCTGAGCTAAATCCCCAGCCCAAGAGTTGGACTCTTGCAATACAGTATATATGGAAGTACAGGAGTCGGTTTAGGAAGAGAAAATACTATTTATCAAAATACAGAAACATACGCTGAACATGGGGACTCATACAACTAGGAAGAAGAAATGAGGTAAGGGGAAGTGGTAAAATTTCAAATGAAACTGATAGAAATATACATGAGACAATCTGAATAATCTTCTGTCATTATTACCCAAAGGAGTTAAGAGGCTGGGGAGTATGAAGTGCCACACCAGTTTTCATAAAGCTAAAATACAATTACCACAAACTGAAAACACAAAGGGGTCACAGTTAGTTAAGACTAGGTTATAATTACAGTTTGACAGTTTAACAACACATAGCTACTTAATTTAGTTTGGACATTTTTATAAGTAAGCTATATCCAAGTTTTTAAAAGTTAAAATATGTCCAATAATATACTTTCACACAAAAGGTAATGACTGATGAAGAATTAAGTCAATTATATATATATCTTACTCTCACATAATTCAAAACGGCATGTAAAACACATGAAACATTTCCACTGCTAATTTTTATGTCTTTAAGTACTGTTAGGTAATGATATGCTACATATATCTATTTCTTGTACTTAACTAATTATAACATGTTACAAAATAAGTATAATTTACATACCTGGTTATAAGTTTACAAATACTTGCTTAGGGTAATGCCTAGCTTTAAATTGTGAATAGTACATAAATGTAGGTCTGAGAAATGTGTATTACCTGTAATGCTCAACAAAAGTGGACTTTTAACCAAATAATTGGATAAAAGAAATATGAGAATTAAAGATGAAAAAGAAGAAAGCATGTTAATAACAAAAAGAAGTATTACTGGAAAACACACATATAGAACATGAAGTGTTAAAATACAGAGGGATAACAATGATATTACTTGACCATTCAGATAGAAGGTAATTACAGAAAATAGTACATGCTATCATAAGTTTTCTAATACATATTGGATAATAATAATACCTACTGTTTACTTTGCTTTTGGTCTCAGTTACATCCTTTTCTAAACACTCAAGATAGTAACTTTAATTATTTCAACACAATGAAGTACATACTACCATCATTCCTCCTTATGCAGGTACTGGCAATTTACCAGAAGAGTGATAAAAATAACGTGGAGTAGGTAATCACATAGACCTGGGAACCAATTCTATCACTTGCTCCTCTGCCGCTTAACATGGTGACAAGTTATTTAACCTGAGCTTTAGTTTTCCATTTGTAAGATGAGGGTACCTTTACCTACCTCATAGGGTTGATGAGGGGCAGAAGGATATACTGCACCTAATAAAGATTCTGACACACAGTAGACACGGTAGTTAGCTTATCAAAATTTTGGGAACACAAAGATAGAGCACACATGTAATTTCACCTTCAAGAAGCTCACTATATACTGGCCTACCTGATGTCACCATAGTTTCTCAGATCCTAGTTATGATTTTTATATTTTCTGAAGAGTAAAGGACATAACAAATAACAAAAATTGAACTTACAAATGTACTTAAATAATTTGGTTATGTTACATATTAATTTGTCAGTGGTATGTAGTCCATGAGAGTGATAGTAATATAGTTACATTAATTCTGAATTTTATATTTATAATAGTGAGCAGGGGCTGGGGATTTAGCTCAGCGGCAAAGCGCCTGCCTGGCAAGCGCAAGGTCGTGAGTTCAGTTCCTGGTACCGGAGAAAAACCAAAAAAAAAAAAAAAAAAAAATAGTGAGCAAATTTACTTAAGGACTCCTATCTTGGCAATACCATAAGACGACAGCAAACTGTAAAATCTTTGTATACTTTTCCCCCACCAATACTTACTGCCATAAGAACTGTGGAAACTACAATGATAACAGACTTGACAGTATTAAATTATATACAAGGAAGGAATGAACTAAGTGGAATAAAGCACATTATCAACTTGAATTCCCTCTGAAAGTCTCCTAAACAGACCTGTGAAAATTATCAGCTCTAGCTTAGGAGGCAAAACAATCCACAACAAGCATACACAAAATTTTTCCAAAGGCACAACTAGCCAAGGATACCAAAAGAAAAACTGGTTTTTTGAGAATGATGTTGTCACGGTCACTTTTCTTTCATTGCTGAGACAAAATACCTGATGCCCAAAATTAAGGAAGGAAAGGTTTATTTAGCTGACATTTTTTGGAGGTTTCAGTCCCTACTTGGCTGGCTCCAAGGCATAGTGGCACATGGCAGAGGGCAACCATTCATGGCAGGAGAAAACAGTAAGAGTGAAAAGGGAGGAGTGGCAGCAAATAGCCTCTTTCCCTCCCTTACACTGTATGCAAACTACCCACCTCAGGGTGGGTGCAGCACTCACACCCATAATCCCAATGCTGGACCATGAATCAATCATAAACTCTAGAAGCTCACCCCATGACTGCATGAGGCTTTGGGGGGACATCAAGACTCAAACCATAACAGATGTAAAATTTCCTGGTTTTAGGGAAGGGGAAAAAAAAAAGAACAAAAATTTACTTAATGCTTTCTGTTCAACTTTGCCGCTAATCTAAAACTTCTCTATAAGACAGTCATTAAAATAAAAACTCAAGGCTAAAAAGGGTAGAGGGAAAAAGAATTAGGGTTTGGTTGATTAATGGATACAAAATTATAGATAGAAGGACTAAGTTCTAGCCTTCTATAGAACAGTAAGGTAAGTATAATTAAAATAATTTATCATGTATTTTGAAATAGACAAGAGGGTTCTAAGTGTTCTCATCACAAAGAAATGATAAACATTTGAGATGCTAGGCTAATTACTCTGATTTAATCATCATGCATAGTAAACAGGTATCAAAATATCACCTTTAAGCCCATAATATGCACTATTATCATGTGTTAATTTTAAGAAGTAGAAAAAAATTCACCAAATCCCAAACGTACATGCATGTGGAAGTATGTGAGTCTGAAATATGAGAAAATGCTTTGCATTCTAATTACTCACAGTTAGACAATAATTATCAGTTTTCCAACAGTTTCCGTAAGTCATTACCCATGATAAATATGGTATAATGATATATTTGGTCACTCTACACAAGTTTAACTACCACAGTATCACAATTATACTACACAGGAAGCCTCATTAAAAAGAAATATTTTTTACTAAAACTCAGTTTTCCTCAATAATTTTTGGCAAAGTAAAAGTCAGGAATCACTACAAAATGTGCAAACTATTAACCAGTGTCTATGTTTCCTCTACTCCCAGATACTTGTTATCTGGAAATATGTGATGTCAATATCAAAAATGTCTTGTGAGATCTAAAAATATGTTGGCACAGCTTTTAGTCATGTCTGTGCATTAATAAAGCTCTTCTTAAATGTTAAGGACAATTTGTTTTTAGAATGAGACATTCTAGAAACAGGTTCTTCTAATAGTTTTTAGTTGTCATTTCAACTGTTTTGAAGCCCACTTTTAATGATTTCTAGTAATATACAGATAATAATCACTAGCACTGATGAAGAATATAGTTTCTTTCAAGCATTTACAGCCAACCACCCTTAAATGGAAAACATATTTAACAAGCCACATGGCCTGGGTAAAGTTATTATCTGTATGCTTCATTTTCTTAATTTACATAATGACTTATTTTCACCTGATTTCACCTCCTAGTTCCTTGCTATCTCCTATTAGAGTTCCTTAGTTCATTTTCCCTGACCTGCCTCTTTAATACTGTACTTCAGGGTTTGGCAGTAGTTCCTAGCCTCGTTTGGAGATTATAAACTGTCACCATACAGACTGGAGATGCCTTTGTGTTCCAGGGCTAAAAGTGTTAACTCATTGTCCAGGCTCTTTAGGAAGGTGTATGCAGACTTCAACACTCCTTCTTGTCTGCCATGTTCATTACCCTGAAAGTAATTTAAGTTCGTAAGTCCAACTTTACTTGTGGTCCCTGATTCTGTCCCCAGGCTGAATTTATAGTAGCGAAGAAAAATAAATCTTTTTTCCACTTACTAAGTTTGCAGATAAATGAAGAAAACACTAAACTGAAGAAACTTATGGAGGTTATATTGAAGAAGATAGTGCTAATTTAACAACTGTGCTTAAAGTGCAGATAAATCTTTTACCATTCATCTTATTGCTCATCTCATTATTGTACTTTAATCACCCCACTGTGATTTTTTCAACTTTATATGAAGTACTACTTAAATTTCAAAACCTTAAGTCTCCTCAGAGTCAACAGAGCTTTTAATATGCTAATATACATAGAGTTCTTCATAAATGATAATGACATGTAACATTTGTAGAGCATTTACCACGTGCTAGCTAAATGCCTTACATGGATCACCTAAGAATACTGTAATTACCTTCATTACACAGAGAAGAAAACAAGTTAAAATTAATTCACCTCAGATTGTACAACTATTTAGTAAATGAGGACTGAAACTCATGTCTGCCTAATGCTGCAGCTAGCTCTTTTAATGTTCACATTATAATTTCTTTAAAGGATATAACTATAAAGCATTTTCCAAGTTATTTAATGACAGAATTCTAACCAAGGAGCACCAATTAGCATTTACTGAAAATAGTATTCTCTGAACAGTTTGGGAAAAACTACTTTAGTTTCTGTGCGAATTTTTTTTTAAAAATCTTGAAATTAAAATATAAAAAATTGTATGTACAGTAATTGTAAATATAAAACATTTATTGACAGTAAAGACATCAAAAAAGTTATACCAAATATGTAAATTGTGTTTGGTGAGAGTTAATACCTTCTCTTTTTTTATTTCTTACAAAATTAAAATAATCTTAATGTTTTTAGATGAAAGCTTTTCAAAAGTATTCTCTAAATGAATCTGTCCTATGATGTCTTTTTCATCAGACTTAAACTGCTATCAAATTGTATGATGCCTCTAATATGATACCAAATATATGGAATTACAGTACATCTTACTCACTAAAACACACTAATAGTGCTGCTGAAATTCTTTCCTGTAACTTCTCTTCACCTCAGCTTTCTCCTCAGTAACCTTCCCTACCTCCATCTGTCTTCTCTGATGTCTTTTAAATAGCAAATCCCTTGTCCCAGTGCCAAACATTAGGAGTCAAATAAAAACAAGAATCTAATGCCTTGACATCCAAGTTTTAAATGCAAATTCTTAAATTTACTTTATAGCATAGGAGCTATACAAAAATCTGCAAGTGTCCCTGTGATTTTCAAAACTCACAACTATGACCATTAAAACAAAAAAATTTCTTTCCTAATGAAATGTATACATTAAATCTAAAAAGAGGTAAATCTAAGCCAGCTACAATCCTCTTATCCAACAGAGGTGTCTTTTACCTGGCTCAGATTATCCTTAATAGGAGTTAACCATCCACTCCCCACCATCTTTCCCCATTTCTTATCCAAGAACATGCTAATAATTGTAACTATTATCTTAATGGGGTGGGTCCATTACCTGTTTTGAGAGACACTCAGAGAAATTATATGATCTGCCTAAATTCACTCACATATTAAAAGACAAAGCCATGATCTTAACTTGTTTGTCCCCCTGAAACTCATACAATTCACTTTTAAAAAGTCTCCCAGTGTCTAATTAAAGACAAGTAAACGTTCATCCAAAATACTCTTGCACATTAAGTGCAGCAAGGCTATTACTGGTTATTTCTTGCCACCTGTAGTGAACCCACTATTATTCCCCCTATGGATTAAAGCAAAAACCTCCTAATTGGCCTTCTCTCTAACACTACACTGTTCTCACTATATGTCTGATCCTTTTAAAATGAAATCAAGTCATATCACTCTATGGACCAAAACCTTCCAACGCCTTTCAGTTTCCTTTAGGATAAAGGGTAGATGCACGCAAGACTCTTTATGACCTGCTCCTATTCGCGTTGACTTTCTCTCTAGCTTTATCCCTTTCATTCAACGCTGATGCAGACTTTCTTGCTGTTCTGTTAGGCTTCTGTTTCATGGCCTTTGCAAAGGTTGGTACCTCTGCCTGACTGCACTTCATCTGTCACCTAGGAGAAAGTCATTCTTTTTGTGAGACTTTCTCTGGGCACACTAAATATTCAAACTATATTCTCCTTCCACTCCGGATAATTTTTCTCTTCAGTACTCACCATGACCTAAAATATGGTGTGTTTTTATTTACTGTGCTCATTTTGTGTCCTCACTAAGATGTGAGCTAGGGGATTGAGGCAGGAAGTTTCGTCTATTTATTCATTCGCTGATTTTTCTAATCTGTTCATTGCTTTTGCTCTAGTGCCTAAAACAGTGCCTGTAATGCGGGGGACGCATAATAACTACTTGACCAACCGAAGAATGGCTGTCTCCATCCTCTCCCCCACAAACATCCAAGTCCTTCGACACACACTCATATAAAAGTAAACCTGCTTAAGAACCTATTTTTTCAACGCTATTTTTTCCCTCTGCTCTCCCTCTACTGCTCAAACTTAGTTCCTTGAAAAGGTCCCAAGCTCTTTCCTACTTTCTTATGCCAGTCTGAGTGCTAGTGCGATCAGACCTCCCACCGCACCCGCAGGCCGGGCCCTCGCTCCGAGGGAATACGGGAAGAGAAGGACCGCAACGGTGGCACTCTGCCTAGTCCAGACCCTCAGAGAATTCACTCACATGAAGCGGCACACAGCGGGTCCAGGACAGGAAGCGACACCGTCCTGCACACGCTGGCACCGAGAAAGGACCCCCATTAGGTGTCCCCGCTTAACGCCTGAGCATTACACAAATCCAAACCCACATCTGTCGTCCCCGTTCTGCGTGTAGTGTAGGCTATTCACTCCGTATCTTCCATTTCCTCATCCAATATCACCAACTTCCCTCACATTCTTCCTTGCTAGCTACATTTGCTCGTTAGTTTGGGCAAGCGTCCGGCGGCCAGAAGTTAGGGTCCTTTCTCAACGTTGCGTCGCGCGGTTGTGAGGTCAGAAGTGGGGGCCACGCTGGTTTGAGCTTGGAAGAGAAAGCCGGCAGCTGTCAGTGGGCATTTCCGGGCTCGCCTTCCTGGCCCGGTTCTGAGTAGCGGACTTCGGCGTTTTGGGCTTGCCTTCAGAGGCCAGTCTCTGAGCTCCCGGAGCCCAGCAACGACCTGTGTTGTAGAAACCTCTGAAATGCAGGGCCAGGCGCAATAAGCCGGAGCGCCAAGCCCAGTCACGGCCGAAGCCGCTGCGTTGGGGCCCCTTGTAGGCGCTCCTTCCCCCTTGTCTTTGTGCCCGCCTGCGTCCTCAGACCCAGAGGCAGGTACTCGGGTGTCCTAGTGTTGTGTTGCGTCTTGCAGGAGCTGGTGGGTGGTACAGGAGTGTCAAGTGCAGCCCATGGCCCCGCGTGTCCGCTGCGAGAGATGGAGCGAGCTGTAGAGCTTCTTGCTGGGCACCATCTCGGTCCTTCGCTGCAGTCATTCTTCCTCCTCAGTCACAAGTCTTTGGGGGGATGTAGGCAACTTTCGAAAGTAACCACCACATAATTGCGTCCAAGGAAGACAGAGCAGAGTAGAGCATGTGAAATCTTCCATTACTTATCAGCAAGTACGGACTTTTGCTCTGTCATGTTTCTGATTTTCAGAGTGTACTCCCTTGAGCAGTAGGAGAAAGAGAAGCGGCGGAAAAGGGTGAATTGAGAGTTGTCAGTGACTGTTTTTCAAGGGCTCGTGTCTCCGGTTTTTTGAGACAAGTCATTTTGAATGAAGGTGTATAAAATAAATGAATTATATAATTCCGTTTGCCCGTTGAAGACATGCGAATAGTATTTTATTCGTGATAAAACCAACATCATTTTTCTAATGTTGACATCCACTGTTTAAGTCGTTCCAATCCAAGTTCTTTCAGGGCAAAGACTGCGTCTTGTCCAGTGAAAGATTGTATCTTGTTCACTGTCTTTGACCTAGCAGCTGGAAAAGAATTCTTTTGAAATAGGGGTTTCAAAATATTTCTTGAATGAATTTTCACACCCAACCACCTACACTGTTGTTTTCCTCTTTCAATCTGTCACCTCTGGGTTTTTTCCATTGAAAATCTAGTGGTAATTTGTAGAAAGATCGAATAATGCAGTAGCTCTCTGTCTCAGCCTTCCTCATCTTGTCCTGTTTTTCGGCGATAAATACCCTCAATCTTTTCTAATTCTAGGTCTATTTGAATGATAAGTTAAAATGCTAATTATTTTTCATTGATGTCTTAATTGATTTCATTGATGGTGTATAGCATTCACAAGTTGTGTAATAGTTTTAACCATAAACTTTCTATGAATTTTGGAATATTTATCACATTTTTTACTAAAACTAAATATTGTAAATATTCCAAAAAATACATGTATATGTATATATATATTCCAAATACTACAACTAAAAATTGTGATAAATATTCCATAAATTTTTTATATATGTATATATATATATGTATGTACTTTATAGTATATATACTTTTTCACACAAACTTTTTTTGAGACAGGGCCTCGCTATGCAGTTCAGTCTGGGCCTTAAACCCACTACAGGCCCAAGATGGCCTCAAACGCATGGTGATCCTCTTGCCTCAGCCTCCTGAGTGCTCAGATTATAGGCATATGCCACCATGCTTGGTTCACACAAACTTTTGAAAACCTGTTTTCGCTCCCTTTTTAAAATTAGAAAAGTAGTGACTCTTTCTTTATCAAGGGAGAACTCATATTCACCTGTCTTACTGAAGTTGTAGATTCTGTTCCTACACTATACTGTTTGCAAATGACCAGACAGTTCTGAGAGCATACAGGAGATTTTATTCAGTGGCAAATGAACAGACAAGGGGAGCTCTCTCTGCAGGCACATTCTCCAGCAGCTCTGGGGTCTACAGTTTTATAACTCTGGGTCATGAGGTGGTATGCCAAACATGCTGTCATCAGAGCTTTTCACAGAGAAGGAAGGAGATTTCCAGGGTACTGTTCTCTTTCTTTCCTAATTTGGGCATGTTTAAACCTGCCATGGTCTAAGTAGGTATGTTTTTTATTCTAATAAGATTATATGGGTCCAGGCTCTTCTGGAGTGTCAACATGTCAAAACCAGATGGAGCAAAGCTAGAGTACCCCTTAATGGCTGGCAGTTGGAAGCACATGGTTATGCATCTGTAACGTGCGGTCAAGCAACATCTGTTGGCAACTAGAGCTGGTAGGAGAACTGGCTATCAGTAGTTACAGGGTTTTGCTTTCCTTGTATACACTTGTGCTTTACCTGTATCTTGCTAAGTTTAATATTTATATTTTATTTTTTAACCATAGTTTTTGCTTTTTTATAGGCTAAAAAGTAATCAAGTGCTTACAGTATTAAGCTTTATAATGACTCCTTAGTGCAGAGCCAAGCAGCATGCTACAATACATTTTCTTAATGTTTTTATTTTATTTTCTGTACCTATTTAAGAAGTATTTTTGTAGTATTAAAGTCAAGTTGATTCTTCCCTGCTAATGGCAAAAAAAAAATGCTATAGTTAAGGTATGCTTTATTTTGTAGAGTATATACTTAGTTTCTTACGCTTCTCTCTTTATCCCACCTCACTTTATTTATTTATTTATTTATTTATTTATTTTTGCTTTTTGCACAAAGTCTTCTTATTCTTTGTATGACACACAGAGAAGCTGCCATTACCCTCCTTTGGTTGGAGACATTCCCTTTGGAGCTGCGTAGCTCTTTGTCTAATTTGAATAAAATTGCCTTTTAGTTTTTGGGTAGCTTCTATCCTGGGTTTACATTTATTGAACTTTTGGGTAAATTACATTTTTTTCTTAACTCACGTCTTTTGGTTATTTTTCCCCTCTGTATCACTACAATATATCCTAAAGAAATTTGCTTTCAAAAGGTATGTGGATGGTCATTTTGTTTTTTAATGTTTCCTGGTAATGTATTGCTATTTGCTATTATGATGGATTGCTTGGCCACATGCAGACTCAAAATTATGTTCCTTTGAATATTTCTAGGTTTTACTTTTTTCTAACTTCCACTGTGCTGATGAGAAGACAACCATTTGTATCTGAAATGGTTAAAAATTTCTGGGTTTTTATCCTGTTATTCTGGATACCTTTGAAAATTTATGGTGACCTGTGGATTTATTCTCTTTGCAATGAATTCCTTCAACAGAGATAAGATACATATCCCAGTGTGAATAATTTTTCATTTATTCTTCTTAAAATTACAAGCCTTTTTAACTTGGAGGTACTTATTTCCCTAAAACGATGGGGAATTTTCTTTTATTCTGTCTTTCATAATTTTGTCTCCCTTTTTTTGTTTTTGAAAACTCTTATAGAGTGGTTTGATTTGTGACTTGATACATATGTCTGTTACTTTTTTCTAATATTTTCACCTGTTTGCCTTTTTGCTTCATGTTCTGAGCCATTGTGTGACCTTTGCTTTCCAGTGCTTTGACTTATTTTGGCAGTCATGTAATTTCCGCGCATTTTTGTCTTTTTTTCCTCACAGTCCCTAAATTTTTTAAACTTACATGTATTTAACTTACACATATTTAAAATGCACTGTGACAGTTCAATGAGTTTTGATGTGTGTATTTACACTTTAGCACCACCCTAATAAATATACAGGACATTTCCACTCAATTCCTTCTTCCCCACCCTGGGGACTACCTTCTGATTTCACTGCTTTTAGAACTATAGTCCTGGAATACATTTAAAGGGAACTGTATAATATTTACTCTTTTGTGTCAGCTTCTTTCATCAGCTTAATGTTTCCGAGATGTATTTCTATGTTGGCATGTTTGTTCCTTTTTTGTTGTTGGATAGCATTGCAGGGTATTGGTATGCTGAAACTTGTTTATCCATTCTGTCACTCAACTGTATAACACATAATTGCCTCAGTTGTTTAGCTACTTTGAGGAGAGTGGCGGAAACTCCTACACATGCACACAAGGGGATTCATATAAGAAAGGCCAGGGCAGCATTGTTCTTAATATCCCCAACCTGGAGACAATTTAAATGTCTAGTAATATTTTTATGGACGAAGATTTCATTTTCTCCAGTAAACTGCCACATAGAAGTTGGGATATTTTTGACTTTAGAAAAGTTTTCAAAAGTTATATTCCCTTTAATATTCCCAGCAGCATTATATCAGCATGCTAAGTCCACATTCTCTTCAATAATTGTTATTGCCAGTCATTTTAATTTTAGCTCCTCTGGTGGAAGTGAAAAGCATCTTGCTGTGGTTTTAATTTGCATTTTTCTGATCTATATGAATATCATTATGTGTATAAGTAGGAATTTCTATGGGACTCTAATAGCAAGACTGTCAAATTTTTAAGGTGATTATACCAGTTTATACTCCTACTTACAGTAAATGCATGGGCCAGTTTCTTAATTTTTAAAATTTCTTTTTATCTTAGTTTTTACTATCTAGTGCAATTTTCATGTGGTTTTAATGAGCAAGTCTTTTCTTTATTGAGATTATTTGTCTTATGTATGTGTTGATCATTCCTTTTAATTCTTCTCTGAAATTTTTTCTTTAACCTGTTATAGAGTAGATACAATTTATTTGTCTTCTCATGTATCTATTGATCATTCCTTTTAATTCCTCTCCAAAGTTTTTTCTGTAAGCTGTTTTATAGAGTAGATAAATATTTTCTCAAATCTCTCTAAATAGATGTTGGTTTTTTTTCAAGAATTGTTTCAATTTCCTTCAAAGCCAGAATTTGGAGGTTTTATTTTATTCTTTAAACTTTGTAGTGTAGTCTCTCCTAAACTATCTGGGATCCTCAGACAGTTTATTATTAATAGTTAAGAAGGCTGTCTGAGAGGTTTCTGTGTGTGGAAATCCTTGTTAACTGGCACATGTATTTTAGGATGGCTCGTGGGTAACCCAAACTTAACTGTGATACTGTAAATTTAAGAAGCAAGAGGAGGTTTTTTTTTTCCCTCTCAACTATTGCCTGAAACAGCTACTATAATTTTCAACAAAAAATATTGGATTTTTTTTGTTGGTATTGATGTTTTTTGGGTTTGTTTGTTTGTTTGTTTTGCTCTGAGGGTAAATTATTGCCCATTTGAGTAGCTGGTGGCAAATGATGCATAATTTTCTTTTTTTTTTTTTTTTTTTTGTTTTTTTTTTTGGTTTTTTCTCCGGTACCAGGAACCAAACTCACGACCTTGCACTTGCCAGGCAGGCGCTTTGCCGCTGAGCTAAATCCCCAGCCCCTGATGCATAATTTTCAACATTTCATAATTTGCATAATTTTCAACATTTCAGATCACCCTCTGAGTGTTGGTCACCATTGCTTGTACTGTTACAGAAAACATACCAAACACAGGAAGAAATAGCACCAAGAAGATTTGGAGGTACTTCATTGCAACAGTGACTCTGATCTCTCCCAGAGTCAACCCCACCCAGTGGGGTTTTGGGACTTTAATAGGGAGGGCAAGTGGGGAGGTACAAAGGCAGATTTGGTGCATTATGATTGGAGAGTTGGGTAACTTCATGGATTGCTAAGGGACTTTAAACATTTCAAGTTACGTTCAAGGCCATCAGTTAAACAAGTGTGAGTTGCACAAAGGTAGAAGTTTTATTTGAAGTTGCATTGCAAGGCCATTAGTTACTCAAAGACAGTAAAGATAGGTGTACACAAAGGAAAGAGTGTTCTGATTTTGGGCCTGCCAGACATGTCTGCATGCTTTTGATGGCATCCTGGGTAGGCTTTTATTTTAAAATTCTAATGTCCCCCTTCACTACCTTCTCTGAATCCAAAGAGGCCAAACCAGCCAACCTCTTGACTACTATAAGTTGTATGACTTCTTTTTTTCTATTTCTTATAATAGTACTCTTCCATAAACATTCTGCTTTACAGTATTTTTCTTGAAATCTTTCTTCACCTTAATAGTAGGTTATCCAAATTTTAAGTAATGAGAAGTGCTTTTTGATATGAAAGTGAAGTAACACACTTTATCTGCTCTTAAAGCTTTTAGGCATCACTGAAGAAGAAATGATCTAACTTTCCCTTTTTATGCTGTTGAAAAATCTTTGAATTTGACTTAGAGCTGCAATATACATTTATATTTGGGTGTTTTTTCCTGTGATACTGTCTTGAAATTTTTAAACTTTCATCTTTTTTACTGTAAAGTGTTCAGATTAGCAGCCTTCCAAGTTGTATACTGTATCTAAGGTGAGAAAATACTATCTTAATGTTTGATTAATCTGTCATAAAATTCTCTCTTGCTTCTAGATTGTCTTGCAAGATTCAGAACTCCAAAAATGTTTCCCTTGAAGGATGCTGAAATAGGGGCCTTTACCTTCTTTGCCTCAGCTCTGCCGCATGATGTTTGTGGAAGCAATGGACTTCCTCTCACCCCAAATTCTATCAAAATTTTAGGGCGCTTTCAAATCCTTAAGACAATAACCCATCCCAGACTGTGCCAGTATGTGGATATTTCTAGGGGAAAGCATGGTGAGTTGTTTTGGCTCTTTGGTTTTTGTTTTTCTTATTTTGTGTTCTCTACTTTGTTACCAAGATTCAGTTATAAATATGCACTAAAAATGTAAAGGAATCCGTATGCATGTAGGCTTGCTTTTTATGTTTGAAAATAATTTTTGCTGACTGTTCAAATGAAAAGTTGCTAATTCTTTTAAATAGCATTAGTCTTTTCATGTAGGATTATATTTACAGGGCTAAAGTAGAAAAGTTGAACTTTATTGGTTAAAAAGTCAATTTTTCACTGCAGAAATGTTTATTGTGTTTTTAGTAGTATCTTCCTATACCCTACTAAAGCTGCTTATGGTGACGATATTTTTGTTTTAGAATTATTTTTGAAAGCTTAATTGCTGGCCGACATTCCCTATTTTAAAATTCTGTTAAGTGAATTTTAATGTAATGTGTCTAACTTTTTCAAATAAGATAATTTGGAGGTATAAAAATCATATGCGAAAGCAAACTATGTACTTGGTGATATTCAACTGATTTTCCCTTAAAATGTCAATTTTGTGTAGTTAACGAAGTATTAAAGACTCTCATAAATGCATACTTTATTGTTTTGTGAAAAGTAGGTTAAACTATACTTTGAAGTTGGCTGGTTTATTTCTCTCAAACATATTCTGAAGATATTTGTGTTCTATAGAAAACTTTTTTGTAATGATATTGATTAATGCCTAATGTTTGGATATTTATTATATATCAGGCAGTATTCCAATGCTTTAAACATATTATAAGTCCTCATAACATTACTACAAGATAGAAACTGTTACGTTTTCATTTTGCAGATAAGAAATTTGAGGCATAGAGCAAGACCATACAGAGGAAAATAATGAAAGAATACTAATCTGTAATAATCCAAAGAACATTCAGTTTATTATCTGTTGAAACACTAAAAAAGTTGCTGTTTGTCTACAATAATACAAATAGCAACACTAAATTCACTATTTGTTGCCTGAAATACTTTAAACTCTACCATGTACTTAGTACCATGAATGTTTAGGTAGTGTCAGGAAACAGTGAGAGACATAGGAAAGAGATAGATAAAGAGAGATCATTGTCCAGCAGGTGATGTATTTGACTTTCATGTGCTTATGTATACATAGACACAGTATGCATATCTACTTATATTTCTTATATACATATGAATATATTCTTGTGTGAATATAATGTATATGAATATTAAAATATTCATATACACATATTAAAATATTTATGATTGCACTGTGGCCCTTTTTCTGTGCAAAATTACTTTTAATTGGTTGATTCAGCAAATACAGTAAATACTTATCATACTTGGCCTGGCCTTCCAAGAGAGAACATGAGTGATACCCTACTGAGGCCTCAAGGATCTCTGTCTGTAGGGAACAAATCTGAAGGGCAGAACTGATAGAAAACAAAGTTTTAAACAAAAATTACAAAGATGCTGGTAAGATGAAGGCTCTTTTAGGAATTATTTTTATACATTATGACATGTCTTATATTCTGCTTTGGCATACAGAACCTTTGTCTACTAAAGTTATAATTCTTTAATACACTCTTACTTGACTCTGTAGCTTTCTTTGTACAAGATCCAAATATTTGAAAATGAGTAAGTCAGGATCCCAATTTCTAAATAAACCCCAGAAATAATGGAGATGAATAGAACCATGATTATAGTACAGTAACAGTTATATGATAGATAATATACAATCTCCTCTGTTTTAAGAGTATAAAGGAGAGAATATTAAATTCTGAATTGAAGAATGCTGATATTAAATTCCTATCTAAAAAGTTTTGGTGAGATTAAGTGTTGTAGAACAGTGGGATGGTTCTTCTGTTTGTGAAGCTTTATTTCCGTGGTACTGCTGGCCTAACAGGATTAATGGATTTTTGAAAGACATTCTGGGCTTTTGTTGTGGGCCATCAATGTAATATTTAATACCAGTTGAAGAGCCTTTATTCAAAAGTCTGAAACCTGAAATGCTTTGGCACTCAAAAGCCCTGGGACTTAGGAGCACTTTGGATTTGAGATTTTTGGAGTAGGAATGTTCAGTTTATAAAATCTATACACATATTCCAAAATCAAAAAACTGAGAAACCTGAAATACTGTCACCTCAGGAACTTTGGATAAGGAATATTCACCTTGTGCATGTAGTACATGAAAGAAAAATGTGTAATCAAAATATAGATGTAGGAGAATAATTCTTCCTCTACTGTCTTTTGTGCAGTGGCTGGAGGCATGAATCAAATTGATAAAAGACAGATTAACAAGAGAAGAAACTCAAATTTAATCACTTACGAATGCAGGGAAGGTCACAGAAATTCTCAGAGTCAGAATTGTTAATGTTAACAAAGAAAAAATAGAGATAAAGGAAAAGGGTACATAAGTTCTTGCAGAATGGCTATGAAATGTATGGTAATAAGAATTATTTTGTAAGGTTTGCTTCATAAGTAAATGTCATCTTTTCTTTGATTTGGAGGGGGAACACTTTTATAAATGGAGATTTTGGTCACCTTTACCTAGAGAAATTTTATGTATACATAAATTTTTTATACAGAATGGGGGAGATAGCAAATTACCTTCAGCGCAAAACACTCCTTATACCCTTATACCAAGTGTTGTATTTTGGGGTGGCATACTCTGATCTCCTTTAGGGAGAAAAGAAAGTGTAAGATAAAAAGTAATATTAATGAAATTATGGTTTTTTTCAGGCAGACTATAAATTCCTTTGTAAACTTCTATAAGTCCAGGGACAGAAGGAAATCGAAGTACTTCAATTACTTTTATAATCAGGCAACACACTGAGAAATTTGCTGGATATTAATCTGAATGTGGAAAAGTGACCCACTGTAGGTTTTATAATGTCTGTACAATCTGTTGTTCAGGTGAAGTATGGAAACATTGGTATAGAAACTTCTTGGGCATGAGGATCTGAGAGCTCCTGTGTTTTTAGGAGCAGTGTTCTCAACACATCTGGCTAAGTTTGCTTTATTGTTCTTTTCTGTGTCGATCTCTGAGCTGGGAATTCTCTGGCTTACTGTTCCAAATTTTCTGTAGGTAAACATTAAGGAAATTTGACACTTTGGAATAGCAGTTCTTAACTCAGTAGCTCTATGAAGAGGTTTTAAAAGTCTTTGATCCCCTTAGAATTTCAAATAGTGTGTATTTGTGTGTGTAGATGTGTACACATGCATTTTCTTTATGATAAATTTATAATTAGATCATTAGATTTTTACAAAGAATTCCCAGTTTAAAGAAAAGGTTAAAAAGCACTGGTGTATCAAAGATATGGAAAGATTATCTTATTTATTTAAAGGAAAATTTGAGACATTCTACTACAGGATCTTGACTTTCCAAAGTTGACTTGACTTGTACCTTGTATGGTAACATAACACATATTTATTAATGAAGAGACCACAGTCAGGGCTACTCTATAGGATTTTGCCAACTTGGCCTGCACCTAGTGTAGCAGCATAACACGTATTTAGTAATGAGAGGCTGCAGTCAGGGCCCCGCTATAGGAGTTTGCCTTTTGCACAATGCATACGAGCTTCTGGCTAGTCGAGCAATCAGAGTCTTGAATCCAGTTCTCTGTCATCCTGAAGAAAGTGTGTTTTCTCTAATTTACATAACCATAAAGACTAGTGGAAACCATCTCTACAGTAAGCTGCAGATAGTTCATGCCATCTGTCAAAAGCTCAGTAAAGAACTTTTGGCAAGTTTTTTGTTGTTAAATATCTTTTTGGCCAAATATATTGGTACATACCTGTAATGCCAGCTGCTTAGGGGCTGAAGCAGGATTCCATGTTTGAGGTCAGCCTGTGCAATTTGGCAAGGCCTTGTCTCACAATTAAAAAATAAAAAGGGCTTCAGGTGTAGCTCAGTGGTAGAGCACTTGCCTAGTGTGTGTAAGAGATCTTGGGCTCAATGGTCAATACTGCAAAAATTTAAAACAAATTTGTTTGCTAAAGTTATGTATTTGTCCCATGATTTTGATGACATTAACTAGATATTTTAAAATTACCAGGAATGTTTATAGATCTGTACATCATGTGATGATTCCTAGATAATTAGTAGATATTGTCAATCCCTGCATGCTCAGTAGTCCTCTCAGCTCTTACCCCAATCCAGTTATACATTATAAAGAATTTAGTTCCAAAACTGTCCAAAGCTTGGCAATATAGTAAGTTATCATTATGATCCATGGCTAGTAACCACATTTAGTCTTGCTTATTTCCTTGGGTAAATCTGGAGTAGACCTGTCTTCTCAAGCTCTTGCAGCCCTGCTTCATTCCTAGGACTTCATTCCTAACTGTGCTTTATTTCTCCGCACTATGATATCTGTAAGTCTTTTGGGGGCCTCACTTGATATAATTGGCTTATTGCATCTGAAAAGTTTTTTCCCTCACCACCTTCTCTCAGGATAATTACTTCATTAGTCCTATTTCTTGAGCTCTTCCTATTCCTTCCTCTAGCTAAATGAGCCCCTGTAAACACTAAAAATAGGAACTGCCTTACAACAGAATCCCCTGCAAAAGTCACTCTCTGTCACTTCACTTATGAACCGTCTCGTTGGTTATCAATGTCAGATAGAAACAAACAACTCAATGAGTGCAAAGCCGAAAAGCACAACCAGGAGATAAAACAGTGGAGAAAGATGACCCGCATCAAGTAAGGAGAGCAATGGAGTTACAACTTGCAAGCAATGAATGCTCTTCCCAGGGAAAAGAGGCATGGGCATTTTATTTAGGGAGCCTGTGGAATTCATATAGGGAAACATGTAGTAGTTAACACATTTTTCAGCATGCTCAGTTTATGGTACACTTGCTCAGTTGAAGGTCATAGTTCAGAAAGGACCAATGGTGGACACATATCTGGGCATGCTCAGGTCAAGAGTATTAGAGCACATGTTGGAAGGGTGAAAATGGCAGACACGAATGCCCCTGGCATGAACTTCAGTAGTATAAAAAGCTAAGCTTTCTTGAGGTGACTGAA